TGGTAGCTATGGCGGAATTCAAGGATCCGTCTCTGTGTGAATATCTGATCCACACATCCACGCCCAGCACGATATCCGACAATGCTTAGGAGCCCGTCTACGCGTGCTACACACATGACCTTAAGCCGAATACAGGCACCTGTAAGGGCAATTCGGTATCAGACCACTGAAAATGCCATAAGACTCACTCCTCAGTACTCACTCCAATCCAGTCAATCCAAAGTGCTTACCGTGAGGTAGAAGGTATCTTGTTAGCTGGTGACCCTTCAAGCCGTGGCTCTTAACGTGTCGGCGTAAATTCCGGTTACTCAAATAAGGTGAAGAGGCATGTTTAATGAGACGCGGGAGAGGGTGAACACGACAATCCCGATCTGCGACCAAAAACTCGTCAGTAGCCTCGTGGAGGACGACGACTGCTTTCTCCGCGACGGTAGTTCGGGATTTCTAATGCATACTGTGCGGTCTGCGTCTGCACCTGAGTACTCTTAGAGCAAATGTCTATGACACTACTAACAATAAACGTGGTTGACACGGGGCATTTTACATCCTACTCTATGCGAAAAGACGAAAATTCACCCTGACATAATCACCAGGTAGTTCGTAGTAAGGCCAACGAACAAGATCTATCTTTCTGGGGTTCTGACAATGAACAGAAAAGCAGCAAACGACCGAACAGGAAGCAACTCACCATTACTCAATAGCATTTGCATCTTGCGCAGGGTCAGATTAGTGGTCCGGTTGACGGAGTAGCCAAGTTTGATGAAGGTGCGTTCAATCGCGTCGGCGTCGACATCGGTGCCGTCACGGCGCTCCTGTCCAGTCTTCTCCCGGTCGAAGTCGCGTTGGTTAATCAGCAGACAGATGCCGCGCGGGTTGTTACGATTGTGCGGCTCGGCGAGACGAAAGTACTGCAGCTTGGGGTCGCAGAGGTCGGCCTTTGAGAGCACCATGCCGCGCCGCTCCCGGTCACAGGCCGTAGCAAAACCAGCCACCTTCACTGGACGTCTACACGGGTGCAAAAAGTACACTCGATAAAAATGACTACTCAAGTAGTATGCATTTCTCCCATAGATTTTACATACCCCTTTTAAATTAAAAAAATATTTTATAGAAAACGTATGCAAAGATAGTCTTCTTGTGCTTAGTTGGTAGAAAATACCGTATTCTTCAAAAGGCATACATGATGAGGGGGGATAGTTCCGTCTCAAACCAGGTTTACTTTTAAGTTTTCGAATAATTTCCATTTGGCTCTGCCGTTACATCCATATATTCAGTAGAGAAATAAAATGCAGGACTCAAAATATTTGTAATAGATGTGCAACGGGGTGCAAACCTTATAAGGATCAATAATCAACCAACATAGTCGATACTACTCAAATAGAAATATCACGGTATTAAAAAAATCTCAAAATTACCTACTTTTTAATCTGAAGGATACCGTTTTCTCGTCTAGGCAATTTGGAGCAGACAGGAGGGGCTATTTTGTACATGCTTTCTATAAAAGGCGCCGAGAATCAAAAAGAAAAAGAACCACACAGGTTGCTGTACTTTTGTGGGCGCACATTCAAAAGCCGGAAACTTTGCGTTAATGAGATATCTGATGTTCAAGTTGCACGAGCAGGACGCTTGAATACAAAGTCATCATTCATTTCTGGAGCTCTTAGCAGCAAAAGCATTATAACTGCGTAAAACGGTTTCCCGAAAATGTACTTGAAGGGGGAGAGGATGAGTACGCAGTAGTGCATCTCATTCGAAAGCCTTAGTCAGAGCCAAACTCAAAACCCGTTGAGTTAATCAGCTCTCAATGGAGCCACAACTTTACGAAGCAAACTGGCGAATTCCAGAAAGCTGTCCAGAAGGTGGCGCGATCACTAGAACCAGACCTGATGGCTTCATCAGTGTGAATCCAAAAGCTTCAGCGATCGCTTCTCTCCATCGCTTTTCCCAGCGACCCCGCACCGAGCGAATTCGGGTAACCCATATTGTTCAACAGTGTGAAGGACGACAGGCGTTCCATTTTTTACTTAAACCCCCGAGACGGCCACTTGGTGATTAGCAAACAAAGAAACGAGGAGGCACTGAAAGGGGCCTTTTTGATTTGCCCGCTCGTCATCCTTGCTCACATATATATCAGCTTGGTCGACCAGAGTGATGCGTTACTTAGTCCCTAGATTTTTGACAGGATTCTTAATCGATATGCGTTTAGTATTGTGGAAGAGAGGATGTAATCGCGGCGGGAGTTGTAAGCGTCAATTTTTGCCGCATAGCAACTGCACTTCTTGATCTGCGACTATCCTTTATGAGGGAATTTTAAAAGTCAGGTAACTGAAAGTTTCTACTCGAGTCAAGCGCACGATTCGAGCCATAGGCTCACGTTCTTTGGACTTCAGATTCGGACATCGTTAGTGATAGCTAGCACCTATTAAGTTAATAATTCAGTCACAATACATTCCACGTAAGTCTAATTTCACCAATATTTATCTCTGACAGTAAATGAAAGATCCGGCATTACTGTTTTCTGTATAAGACGATTTAAACTGACTAACATACCAAACCCGAAACAGGAAGATATTGAGAAGTAACGAAGGATACGATGTTTATGAAGGGATGACGCAGTTCTGGTAGCAAAAACTGAGTGCATGATCTTATTGGAGCCCAACTGGTACCTAAAGCAATCTGCGTTAGTCTGGAATCGTATGCAATCGTCTTTCTGCTAAAATTAAAACACTATTTAAGTCACTTAAATGTTTTGGATTGGATTAAAGAGCATAAAAGCGAAAGTGCGACTATAACACGGTGCCTTTTCGTCAATTTAGTAGTTGAAATGGAAATACTGGCTAGACTGGCGAGAAATCCTTAAAGCGACATAATGGTAGTGTTTGCTTAAGTGGAAACGACCTAAACCCATAGCAAGGTCACATAGGCATTAGAGTAGAAAAAGTCATGATGGTTGCGGACCTGTGTGCGATCTCTTAGCGATGAACGCTCTATATATTTCATTGTCCATGATGGACTAAATGGTCTTCGCTGTCAAACTGTGCGCAGCTAGCGGAATAGGCGTGAGTGAATAACCGAATAAAATGGTATAATTATCTAGAGAAATCCTCTAATTTCGTCTATCAGCGAAATTATTTGGCTCCGTGTACGAATCGACTACGTTCCATCAACTAGAGACCGTGCACTGGATACACCCAGCGCGTTCTTTGTTTGGGACCTAACTGTTAGTCCGTTGGGATGTTAGCAGCTTCGTAAAATATGCATTTAACAGGGGAGGAGGTTAGAAGCGTACCCGAAAAGGCCAGCATCATTTTCATCCGCGTTCTCAGACATCATCAGTTTTGAGCACGGATACTGATTACGCCCTGGAACACTGGCTGATACCTACAAACCGAAAACAAACTTCACTTATAAACCAGGCAAGAAAGAAGACGCAAGAAAGTTAAATAAAATGTTAGGCGAAGAAAAAACATGTATGGGAAATAAAATAGGTAAAGCGAAATTAAAGCGGGAGGCGAAAAAAGGATCAGCGAAGAGCACTGCCTTGTTTTAAAGCAGTTATTATCGAAGGAAGGAACCTTCTACTCACTTTGCAAATGAAGCAATAAAACGTCCATTACATGACAGCTTTTCAACAACGAAATGACCCCTTCTATAGTCAGACACACTTAAAGACTAGGATAAATGGACCGACTATGATCATGTCAGATCTGGCTATCCCATTACATAGGTAAAATCGCTCAGAGTCCCTCCTTGAATGAAACCAATGACGAGTTTTAAGGGCAAAGATGACCTTCTCGAATGTCACACTGAACACCGAAAACTGAGGGGAAACTGCTATGGATCAGGACTGCAATTTATCTATTTCAATAAAACACACGACTGCAAGCCATAGCGGGATTACAATGAAATCCATTGTAAACATTTGACCACAACGTCAATGTATTGCATGGAGCCAGGTTCTTTGAGATCCTGCCCTGGAGTCAAAACGACTGAAAATGGCAATGACAAAGAGCATTACAGTATTTTCGATGAGACTTTTTTGGGGGTACTCTCCGCATTTGGCATGATCTCACTCCCAGAAGAGGGGCAGGGGAACAACAAAACTCCTTCTCGATCTAC